ACCGAAAGAGGCGCAGAGGAAGACAGGTGATGAGACGGGAAGACGACCTTCTGCAGGGTTGGAGAAGGTAAATCCAAGTGGGGTGAGCTACCCGGGGCAGAGGCTGACTGCTACCGGGCGCGTCCCCCGGGTGGCGGATAGGGGAATGCCACTCGCGACTGTTCCCCCAGACAGGAGCTTGTGGTACCGGAGCAATCCGGCGCGGACCAACAGCCAGGAGGGGCAGGGGGAGCGGTGTCAGGAGGGCGCCGTCTCCTCCTTGGAGGTAGCGCGGTGTCTCCGGCCGTTTTGCGGTAGGAGGCGCTGCGCGGGCCGTGCTGTCGGGGCTAGCCCGTCGGTGCGGCGGCTGGAGCGGGGCCATTTCGGTGGTCCTGCGTCTGGCGTGGTTGTCGGCAGCCATCTTGGTCCGGAGGTGGGCCGACGGTAGGGGGGCCGCGGGGGAAGAGGAGTGTCGGTATGGCGATGCGCCGCTCGTCCCTATCTCCCGCGGCCTAGCGGGGCCACCACCGTTAGATGGTGGACGCGGTGGGGCTGCAGAGGAAGAGGAGTGTCGGTGTGTCGTTGCCGCTCTCCCTGTCCTCTGCAGCCGATTGGAGGTGGCCTACTTCGGTGGGCGGAGGTTGGATTTGATGGGGCTGCTCCGGGTACCTCTCTGGTGTAGCAGAGTTGACTGTGGAGCAGCCTCATCGGTATGGTGGTCAGCCATCGGCAGACCTGCCGCCGGGGCGCCGTAGTAGTTATGCGCGAGCGATCCTGCGGCGTCCCATTAAGGCGGAGGGGAGGGGAATGTCGGGTTTTAGTGGGTAGTACCGGCTCTTCTAGCCGGTGAGCCCCACATAACCACCTGGGGGGAAAAAAAAAAAAAAAAAAAAAGTGGGGTGAGCTAGAGGAGGCCTACGTCGAAAAACGACCTGACCATCGATAAAATATTAAGTAATTTATTAGTCACAAGGAAATTTTACAGGTCAGAGAATAAAGGCTATTTTTATTTTATTTTTATTTATTTAACTCAAAGAAAAGTTACAATCATAAGTAAGTAGAATATCATAAGTCCGTTGTAAATATAATTAGTTATTTACTTCTTTTGTAGACCTCGTAGACGATATACGTACTCAAAGCCCGTTTCAATTTCAGCGTACATTTTGTTCTCGTACCCTTTTTAGCTCTCCACGAACGCAATGCAAGCTCTCAGTACGCTTTGAGCTGCATTGTGTAACTCAGGTTGCATGACCTAGTAGCGTAGACTGCGAGGGGAAATTGTTTCCCCTTTATATTGAGATGTTCATTGTCAATCTTTATATCTATATTGTACTCTATTGTGTATGTAATAGAATAGTTGCTATGAAATCCATGCGTTTGAGATTGTTTTAGCTTTTGAACCATATATGTAATTTGTTTAAGAATGTTATATTATACGTTATATTTACGTGAAAACTTTTAGAAAACCTTTTACTTTAATTTACTATTTAATTTACAGCAGTCTCGTAAAAATGTGATACGAATTTTCTCTGTGAAAAAAAAATCCGTATGTGTCTCAAACAATAAAACAACAATTTTACAGATTACGTCAATATGGCTTGTGGTCTTAATCATCTAGATAGAAGGTGTCGTGGTCACTGGAAAAAATAAAGTTAGTATATTATTTTAACGCATTATTTTTTAGATAGTTTTGAACGCAACTTATATAGTTGCTTAAAAGAATAAAAGTTTATATATATTTGTAATGTATTTTCAATAATGCTTATTCTCAAAATGTGCTTACATAGATGAACCATAAACAATAATGCTAATACAGACCATAGACTACTTAACATTTAAGTATAGTATACACAACAATATTCAATAAGCTAATATGAAGATTTTTTAGCACATCGCAATTCATCATCAGTTATATAAAAAAACCGGCCGAGTGCGAGTCGGATTCGCGCACGAAGGGTCCCGTACCATTACCTATAAAAACGGCAAAAAATCATGTTTATTGTATGGGAGCCCCACTTAAATATTTCTTCTATTTTAATTTAATAATTTATTTTTAAAGTGAATATATAATAAATATTCTGTGAATATTTCAAGTGTATAACCTGTTGCTGTTATCAATATCGAACAAAAACGAGCAAAAAAATCACGTTTGTTGTATGGGAGCTCTCTTAAATTATTTTATTCTGTTTTTTAGTATTTGTTGTTATAGCGGCAACAGAAAAACATCATTTGTGAAAATTTCAGCTGTCTAACTATCACGATTCATGAGATACAACCTGGTGACAGACGGACAGATAGACAGACGGACGGACGGACGGACAGCGGTGTCTTAGTACTCGTTTTACCCTTTGGGTACGGAACCCTAAAAACTCATGTTTATGAAACTTTTAGGGCGACATAGGACGGCATAGAAAGCAACATAGGACCTAAGCTTAAAATAGAAAAATAAAAATATTAGGAACTTAGCGATCGCAATGCTGCAGGCAGTACTTTTTTAAAAGTATAAGCCGATTATAAATACAATAAAATGCTAGAAGTTGTCACACAAAGGAAAATGTTAAAACGTCATATAAATAAGTGTAAAACGCCGCTTCCGCAAGGCTTAGAGGCGATAAGAGGATTCTACAGTAAGCGGTCATGTCACTGCTGTAAATAGAGGTAATTTATTCAATTCAATGTGAAATTATCTTGCATTTTAGGCTTTATGACCTTTGTAATAGGAACTATAGATTAACTATACAAGTGATGTCCACGTACATTCGTCATACCTTGACTCCATAATAAGTTCAATTAGCTGTTGACCTATAATTAAGTAAAGCTTACTTGGAAAATAATGCATCTATAAAAATTTAAATTATAAGAAATACAAGATTAAAATATTATCTTATTTGGCTTACACGTTTGGCTCAGTTTGTAGTGACTCTATTTGCTGTGCCAGCAGTCGTGGGTTCGAGTCTCGCTGGGGGCATTCATTTGTGTGATGAGCACGAATGTTAGTACCCCAGTCATGGGTATTTATATTTATAGTATGTATGTATTTAAAATTATATATAAATTATAAAATTGTAGAGTATCAACTATCTGGTATCCTATATGGTATAACACAAGCCTCGTAGCTTACAATGGAACTAGATGATAGATTTATTGATGATTAGATTTATTTATCTCATATATAATAACGAAGAATTCGGTATGAAAAAGTTAAAACTTGAAATTTGTTAAACATAATGTATGTATATTGTCGTAAAAATATTAAAATCTAATATACCTACTAAGCTTTTGCTATTAGATTTATTTTTATTTATATTAAAATATAAGACTATTTAGAGATCTCTTTAAGCCCAGATAAAAATAATAATAACGAGAATGTACAGTTGGTTAACCTACTTGCAACGGATATCCGAAAAGCAACTTTGCATTTTATAAGACTCTCCCAAACTAATAGGACGATATATCACTGAGCGAATATACATCATAAGTATATCTTACAATGTGTTAAGTATTTTATTTCGTAATTTTTACACTGTACTATTAAATATTTAATTAAATAATATTTCATAACTAAGTAATTGCGTATTTTTTACCCCATCATAAACATCCCATCAAATAAGTTCGAAATATGAGAGATCTCAAAAAATAAATTTAAACTTACCTAACCAGTAACCTAAATAACAACATTTATATTGTAAACTTAAAAAAAAAACAAATAAAAAACAAATCTTTTTTTTTAATAAATATAAATAGTATAAAATATAAATAAAAAGGATTAAAATATTTGCAAAAATATTTCTCTCGAGCTTTACTATTTACCCTATTATGAGCAGTGCATTAAATCGGATTATACGAAGCGCTCGGACGGCGAACTTATTTCCCGCGCAACTTTTGTATAACTGAAAGAAATGAAGCTTATTAGACTTTATCTAGTAGCGCCATATTGTTGCCAATTAAAATGCTAAAATCTACATCGCACATTGAATATTCAACTCAATAACTATTTATTCATTAAATATTGTTTATATATATTTTTTAATTCTCTTTTTATCAATATCGGTTCAAACTAACTTTTATTTATATTTTAAACTTGTTATTGTAAAATATGGTCAATGATTGATGTGATCGAGCTAGTTTGTTCATTAAGCAATAAAATGGGTAACTCTTGGATAATCTATACATATAATAAAATTGTGAGTGACAAGAAAATTTAATAGAAATCGTTTTTTAAATTTTTATCTATCTGTCTGTCTGGGAAAATCACTGGACAGATTTTAATGAAAATTGATATGATGATAGCTGCTTATCCGGATCAGCATATAGGATACTTTTTTCTGCGGGAAAATATCTCATCTCTAATATCGAGAAATCTATACCAACCGCTAGTATACATATAAGCTTAGCGTAGTTTCGGCAGATTTTATTTTTTCTATAGTTATAAGGACTTTAAAAATTATAATTAAGGACGCGAATTACTAGTTATAATATACATGTATTGGAATTCCTTTAAACTCTAATTTTCTCAACAAAAAAATTAATTTAATTTAATTCCTAATGTTTTTGTTTAATCAAAGAAATGTTTTTGTTTAGAATTTAATGAATAATTTCAGAATAATTCATACCGACTGGTCTTATAAGCTCATTCTGTATATGATTGGCTCAAAGCTTTAATTAAAATATAAGCCATGTGACATAAAAATCGTTCAATAAAACCAATACAGTTTAAGCCTTCTGAATCACAGCTTAATGTTCCGTACAAAGCAGAGATTACAGAGCTTTTGGAATAAATAATTAGTTTTATAAAAATAAGGTTTTATTATTACTAGCTTAAAAAATACAAATTTTTGAACTATTTTGTATATTTTTATGTTATTAATTGAGAAAAAATTAAAATGTTTTTTTTTGTCACATAATGGTCGTTAAAAATACGAATGAGAAACCGATTATTCGCAGAAAGAAAAAGAATATTCGCATTATCATCGCACATTTCGAAAAATAAATCGTCAACATCCTTTCAATAACCTATCAGAATGGACTTCAAGTAAGTATAGAACTTTAAAAATGCTTACCGGAGTAAGATTTATCCTTTCAATTGGAGTATATTTTAGAAAGCTTATATACATAGATTAAAAAGGAGACTAATACAAAGTTTTACTTTATGAAAATGTGTGTTCAGTATTTTATTTAATGATATTATAAACTTCTATTTAATATAATATTTCATCTGCGTACTCTGGAATAAAAAGTTAAAGTTAATTTTGAAATAAATTAAATAACCAAATTATCGCATGATTTTAAGTTATTTGCATACGTTCATATTTTAACAGTTTCATAAGTTTTATTATGTTTACGAGATCAAATTTTACATTTAATGTACTCTCAAAGGCAATTTTCACTATAATTGTTATTTGTCAGTACTATTTTAAATAATGCATACAAATATTTTGTTGCCCTTAGTATTATTATTGCATTGATTATAATTAAAAATTAACTCCATTTTTTTTACATTTCAATATTATTTAACACAAAAATGTCTTAAGTAAAGCGTACAATGGTCACGATACTAGACGTTTGTTTTTTTTTTGCAATAGCAATATGCTAAGTGGTATGTAGTTGCTATTGTCATTGGGGGAACGCTAGCCATTGTCGCGTCTTGCAAACACATGCGTGATAGTTGATCCTCGATATTCAGTGCATACATTACGCTTGCACCAACCTACTCCGTGTGTACGCCATTTTTGGGCTAAAAATGTTGGTGTTGACGAACAAATGCTAATTAATACCAAATATATATTAATAATTAATAGGTATGTTTAGTGAATGAAAACTACCAATCAGTTATTTTTTACTTTTTAGTGCTTTTGGTTAAAGTCGGTTTTTATTTTTTATTACAAAGTTTTTATTTTTCCCTTTTTAGTGTAGACAGTAGTAGCAAAGTAAGAATTCTAACGTCTTAGGCTTGTGAAATCAAACAAAATAAGCCCAAACTCAAAGTATCTACTATTAGCCGTTAAAGAGTTCCACCTATCCACCTTCTGGCCTTGCCATCATATCAGCTCAACAATACCGAACCACTGTACTATGAACGGAAATAGAAATACTTGCAAAGTTTCAAGTCAATATGACAATTAGAAGTAGGTTAAACTCATCATTAGCTATTTTTCCACCTTTAGGGGTGGTATTTTTTTTTTGAAATTTAAATGGGACCAATCTGGAACAAAAATTGTCCAAATCGCTTAATAAATGACGGAGTTCTGAGTAATAAACATAAAAAAAATACAGCCGAATTGAGAACCTCCTCCTTTTTGAGGAAGTCGGTTGGAAAATTACCTGCTTATAATATTAGTGTAGATTCATATTAATTTCTGGACTCAAGTTTTTACTGAGTAAATAGGCCATGGAATATATTTCTAATATTTAGATATGATCGTTAAATATTACTATAATTATAATGTCGTCTCGCTTACACGCCCAAAGTCCAGTAGGCGGATATTTAACATGGTAAGGTGCAAGCCCAATTGTCCAACACCGTCAAATTGCCACATCTACTCGTAGTTCCTCCGAAAACTTAATAAGTTTAATCAAACTTAGAACCTCTACATCTGCAGCTGTACATGTTAGCTGCTACACCAACAAGGAAGCTTAAACTATGTAATCCGTATTAATATTCTAAATGTGAAAGTTTGTGAGTATAGATGTTTGTTAGTCTTTCACGCAAGAAGGGCTAAACGGATCAGGATTAAATTTGGCACAGAGATAGATTATATTCTGGAATAACACATAGGCTAATTTTTTTATCCCAGAAAAATTTACGGGTCCCGTGGGAAAGATTTGTTTTTGTTTTCCTAGAGGCGACCCCGAGCAAAGAGAGGGTGAGCCGCTAGTTATATTATAAAGGATGTATCATAAACACTAACAGTACTTATTTGAGTAAAACTATGACGTAAAGTAAAATAATGTAATTACCATAATTTTTTTCTCATATAACATTATCTGGTCTAACATGTCTGAGAAGAAAAGGCAAAAATTCTTTTATTTAATTGAAATACCATTTTATCTATTAAAATATCTGTCTTTTTATTTATAGACAAAAGTTTTATATATCTATAAACAATATATTTATATACATATCTCTACAATACTAGTAACAATAGATGTAGCAGATATTTGCCAATATGCCATACAATTCAAACAGACGTAACAGATATTATGTGTGGCATTCATTAGTCTATATTTCTTAATATAATTCACCAGGGCCAAGTAGAGCTAGGTGAGAATCAAATGTACAAATTAGTATTGGTTTACACAATTCTTATATAATGTAAAGATTTATTTAGCCACAAAATCCCTACGTCCCTTGAACCCGTGTATATCGATCAACTAAAAGTTGACCCATGACCTTTAACATAAACGATTGAAATCTCTGCCCGTTCTGATTCTGACTTCTATTATAATGAACAACTATAAATAGTGGTTTATATATTATATTTTACTTAAACTACAATTTTAATAAAAGAAATATATATACATATATATTATATCTATATAATTATGTATATAAAAATAGAAATATATTTTCAACAATTCCTTATAACAGTATTAACATCGTGAGATACAAAAATAAACCCACATTATACATATAAGTATGTTTGTTAAAGTCACTTCTCGACCTTATAAAAATATTGTTTGAACTAAGTCGTTTTAAATTGCACCCCCGTGATAAGCACGCACCTATTCATAAAATGGCGTCATCATATTATACTATACTCTGATCGGCAAAGGTTAACGTCGTCAGAGCTGACACACGCCGCCCTCTGACCTTTAAAGCCTCCCGGGAGGTAATCCCGCATTACCACTCGGCATCTGAAAATGTCATAGCATTGCGGATTATCGTTTAATGGTAGACGCCAATAGCCTATCTATCTATATTTTTCTTTACTAGCGATAGGAATTTGCATGCAAGTTATGTCAAATTTCTAACTCCAATAAGGAATCACAGGTAGATAGGTCATTATACGCCGTAAGCGAGCGCACCTGTCCAGGCGGGCAGGCGAGTACTGCACTACAGTCTAGTCCGTATCGCGACGGCGTCACGCGCATGCGCACTCGCCAACTAAAAAATGAATTCCCGTTTCCCGCACTGTGGGCCGCACGCTCGTGATCGCGTGTCGCTATTTTCGCGGGGCTATCGGACCCGGGCCGCGAGTGCTAGCGGGGTGTGGTCTTAGTGGGTGAATGTGGTGAGTGCGACATGCCAGCCAGGAGGCCCGCCTGGCCCCGGCTGGGTCCGGTCTGCTAACAGCCGCGGCATGGCGCGCCGCCCGCCCGCGCCCGCGCCTCTCCACTCGAACCATGACCGACCTGCAGGCCACCTTCGAGTTCTCTGTGGAACTGTACAAGTTCTACAATGTCGATCTCTTTCAGAGAGGGTGAGTCGCTTTAGTTGTTTTGTACTGGGAAACTCAATGCTCTATATGTGCTCTACATGTGGCAGGGCTGAAAAATTATTTTTTCCTTATACAATACACTCAGCGATTTATTTTTTATAATTAATTAAATGAACCTGTAATTTCAATGGAATACATATTAATACTAAATAGGTATTTTATGTCTAAGGAAAATAACGTAACTTGACAGAAATATAAATATTTTATGCTAATGCACTCTACTCATATTTTAATTTCTTAGAATGTTGACTAGATACAGCTTTTACGCTACTTATTTACAGGTAACCATATAGGAATAAGAATAATATAAGAAATAAAAGAGAACACAATCTTAATAGGACCTCTAAAAGCTAACCAGGTGTTTAAAGTAAAGCAATTGTTTCTATAGCAAGAAATATACATTTTAGCATATTTTTAAGAAAAAGTAAAGTCATAGAAATATGCTATTATACTTCTGAAAGATAAGCCATACTAACCTAGTTAGAAGTTACATAATGAAACGCAAAGTACATAGCAACATAGTAAATAGTATGTTAGGTAGTTTGTAAAGAAAAATGTATTCTGGTAGACCAAAATCTAGTTTCAAATACGGTATCAATCTTCTAATGTTCACTTTCATTTACTTCACCCATTGTCGAAAATCAGAAAATCTATAAGAAAAATGTACCATGTTTTACACAAATCAAATTACTAAATAGAGACCAATAAATAATACCTAATATAGAATTAATAATATTAAGTTTTTAGTCATACTGTTTTATAATATTGTACTCAGCAATTCTTAAAAATCCTCCCATATTACGATTATTAATTATTATTTTTGTTATGACGGTATTTTTAACCTGAGGTGAATCCCAAAGCAGGGACGTGTTTGATTTTTGTTTTCATTATTTAATTTTTAAGTACCTACCTACCTGAGCGACTGAGCTTCACTCGGCATTTTTTTTTCGGAAAAAATAAAAAAAATGCATTTTTTCAGAAGAGACTCCTATATAGATAAATTTAAAAGTCAAATCTTAATTTAAATACAAAATTTGATCCAAATCATTAGGAGCCGTTTCCAAGATACCCGAAATATTCTTTAAATCTATATTTATTTATACATGAATTGCTAATTTAATGTTATAAGCTAATTGTAAACCTAAGCATATTTAAGCTTTAAAAAGAATACGTATAGTCAAGAAAGCATGACAGCTATTGCATGCACGTTTATACAATATTTTTAAACCTTTAATATTATATATATATATATATATATACAGATGACCAAAAACCAAATCCTTAGGTTTTACATATTAGTATACTCTTACATTGCAGTTTTTGTATTTTTTCTCAGAAATGAGATATTTTCCCGCGGTAAAAGTATCCTACTAACAATACCCGGATAACCAGCTATTATCATACCAAATTTCATCAAAATTTGTCCAGTGGTTTTCTCGTGATGCGGTAACAGACAGACAGACAGACAAAAATTCTAAAAACTATAGATTCGAAATCTGTATCGATAATAATGTCTATTTCAATTAGATTTCCCAAAAAATATTTAATGTACAGATTCGACTTAGTTACAATTTTATTATATGTATAGATTGTACATAATATGTTGTTTTATCACATTATACATAGTGTTCTTATATTTATAGCAATCACTTGTCATACTCTTGCTCTGCCACCTCAGTCAATATATGTTTGTATAAACAATAAGTGTAAACCAATCCAATATTTGACGACACGTTTGGCTCAGTGTGTAGTGGCCCTACTTGCTGTGCCAGTGGTCGCGGGTTCGAGTCCCGCTGGGGGCATTCATTGTGTGATGAGCACGAATGTTTCTACTCCAGTCATGGGTGTTTATATTTATAATATGTATGTATTTAAAGTTAATATATGTGTATTGTATCAACTATCTGGTATCCATAACACAAGCCTCGTAGCTTATTGTGGAACTGTGTGTTAATGTCCCAACAAAAAAAAATACCAATTTAGTATAAAGTACCATACAAAGTACCACGAGTTCACAAGGATTCAATTAAAAATTCTAATATTATTAAATACTGTTCAATTTACGAATTTTCATCACAAATCTTTATACTAATCTAACCACGTTTATTCAAAGTTGCAATGCTCTCAACAGTTAGGACGTTATGACATCAACTGCCACAACTAGTTTAGACGTATCCACAGGGGAACGTCCAATTTGTACGAGATTAGTTTTAAAGACAACTCGCTTAAATCTTTTACATAATTGGTACTATTATAAAAGGTTATTTTATTTAAAATATTTTGTGAAAATACTTGTTATTTTTCAACATTTCTCATTTCATAGATGATCATGTCTCGTCTTAGTTTAATACTTGTAAAGTTATATTAAAAATCTTCCGTGCCGGTTTTGGAATTCTTATCCATTGTGTATGGGCTCAATACAAAATCTTAATTTGTTAGAATTGGTTTAACTCTAATTATGGCAACCTCTATAAACATTCCATTCATCACCTTCTTCCAATTTTCGTATATCTTCTGCGTAGTTTCCAAGGCGTTTTGTATCGATCAAACAGTACAGACATCTATGATTGTGACCTCTGTGACGGATTCGAACACAGGACTACTAGACCACTTTACCTGCTGAAGATATCAATTATATAGATACTTTTATTTGTTAAAATATTTTCCTGTATACAAGATTTGAGTAGATTTTCCTTTAGTTATAAATTATTCATGTCAATGAATGGAATTGCCGATGCTAGTTGACAGGCCTTCAGAGCACCATTTTATAACCACGCGAAGAATATTATAAAGGGGTGGAGAAAATAATGTGTTTATGAATCACAAGCACTCAATTTAGAAATTTTCAATCGGAAAATGTGAACAACAACGGATGTATTGAATAAGAGATATGTTTTCCTATCTCTTTATACATTACTAGCGACTCACCCTCGCTTCGCTCGGGTTTGTCCATGACTTGCTCCCCATACAAACTTTCATCCCCATTGTCACCCCCTTAAGGCATGATTTCCGGAATCAAAACTATTTCACTCACTCACTTTTCATATCATGAAATTTAAAAAAAACTTATTTTAGTCAAAAAAAATCTTTTAATTTTCTTATATACAAAGCTTGTCCTGACAATAACAAACACAAAAAAAAAAAGAATTATCCAATTTGGTGCAATCGATTGGAAGTTGTGCAATTTCGGTGATTCTTTTTTTTATATACTGCTTCAACTATATTCTGCTTCAACTGCATCCGTATCTTAAAGATAAGCTAAGCTGATATATAAAATTTGAACTAATTGAAAGATTAAAATGAAATTTTTAAATCCGATTGAAATAAGAGCCGATTAATATCTATCGATCCGGTCTCAATTGATGATAGATAAAATCTATAAAAAATAGTCAAGTGCGAACCGGCTCGCCTATATATTACATTACTGTACATTGTATTGCATAAATTCCAATTTTTTTCATTGAAGAGTCGATAATTTAGAGATGAGCCACAATTACTCTCGTACATTTAAAAAAAATTGAAAATTATAAAAAAAATATACTTTGGTACCTTTCATTACAAGCTATTACAAGTTATTTTTTTATATTTGTCAAATAAAAATCTGTTTTATTTAATTCAACCTTAAATGAGTTCTAAAAATTTAGTAGAAATAAGGCTAAGACACAAACCAAAAGAATAAAAAAACCGTTCCCAAATGCATAAGTGAAATAAAAGTTGTATCTTGGATCTAAAGTAACTTTAAGCTAAAGCCAAAATACTAAAAATACTCAGGTATTTAATGTTTTAATTTAATATACCTACATAAGTATAATTGTATTTATTCATTATATTAATATTAATTCATATTAATATTCTTATATTTTAAACTTGCTGTCGCCCGCGGCTTTACACACGTGAACTCTACTTCATACACTTCACTGTCATAAATAATTCATGCAGTACTTTCTGCATACTAACAAAGTATTATATTAAAAAAAAAAACAAAAAATATTTCACAAATACTAAAGTATACAGAAATCTTTTACAAAGATAGATAAATAATAATAATCTAAATTCATTTCGATCCACAAATAATTTTGAATAGTGAAAATATATATTGAATATTTATTTCAACATTGTTTCATGTACACATAATTGTTGTTTAATAACATCTGCAAATGAAATACAGTAGCCTCTCATTGTCATTGTATTGATCGATTTGACCTCGACATTAACTTACGGTTTTATTACTGCTAACAAACTCTACCTATCTTTTTTAGCTTTGCTATACGAGTACCTATAATAAAATCTAGTGTCTTTCTTACAGGATTATAGGCAGCTTTAGGCCTAGGTCGAGATTCGCTATCTATAGAACTACACGTAGAACTAAATGGATAAAAACTAATTTAACTTTATTAATCTATATATATAAAAAGCAAAAGTAATTGATGTATCGACGTACAGGCCAAACCCTTGAGGTTAGAAAATTGAAATTTCGCATACGTATTCCTCATATGACAGGCAATCTAAAGGAAGGATTAAGAACTAAGGAAGGATTATTTTTAATTCAACCCCCAAAGGGGTGAAATAGGGCATAAAAGTTTGTATGAAACTTTTTATTCCTTGGACATATTTGCATGAAATTTCGTATGAATTGATTACGGCAAAAATAGTGAGTTACGTATTTTAGCGTTTTCTGAAATTCAATTCCTAAGAGGATAAAATAGGGGATGAAAATTTTAAATAAACGCACAGGCGAAACCTATAGGTCTAGAAACTTAAAATTTCGCACACGTATTCCTCTCATAACGTAGGCATCCACTAAGGAAGGATTTTTCAAAATTTATCTCCCAAGGGGGTGAAATAAAGTATGTACTGCGAATAAGTGTCTTATTCGTAATTTGATCGCGGGTGAAGACACCCTTTTTTATTTTATTTTTTAACGTTGGGAAATGCATTTACGCACGAGGTGTGGGACTCACCTGCAAAACCAGTACTACCCA